TGTGTCTATATTTTGTATGTCTACAATTTTGCTTGTACTTAATACTGGTAATTATGTGGAAATTGGTTTAGATAGATCCATGATTATAGACTATGTTGGAACTATACTTTTATTACAAAATTGTTTATTTTTTTCGCTAATGCCTTCTACCTAAATTTTCTAGAGAATTTGTCTAAAGCTATAGATGTTTGATTTTTTATTATATTTAGGAGGCATCCATAAATAACGTTATGCTTGAGAGGGGAGGGGGGTCCCCAAAATATAATGATTTTCCAATATTTAGGGTGGTCCCCCCAAAATATAATGCAAATTTTTTATAAAAATTTGTTTAACATTTGATCCAGTGGTCCAAATTGGATGATTTTGGTACCATTCGAATCGTCTCGAGAAGAGGAGTCGAATGGTACCAAAATAATTTAATTTGGATCACTGAATCATGTTTTATTAACGAAATACTATTGGTTATTATGTTTTCTTATAAAATTACTATAAAATCAATAGTATTTCATTAATGAAACGTTATTCAGTAGTCCAAATAAAATGATTTTGGTACCATTGAATTCGTTTCACAGAGACGAATTGAATGGTACCAAAATTATCCTTATTGGATCACTGGGTCATAATATATCCAAGTTTTTGTAAAATTTTATATATAAATTTATAGATTTTTAAAAATTTTTTATACTATATAGGGTACATAACATTATATATAGATGCCCCCTTATATCCACGTCTAATAAGACATTGAGGCTCGATATACCAGCATTCTATAAATTTGAGGTTATAGACATTTGGGATCTTTGCTAGGAAAATCACCCTTCGGGATTTTCCAATCGGGCCAATTCGGAAAAGCTTAGACCAGAATACCGCTTCTTATTCATATGTAAATCATCTTTTGCTTTATTGATTCGATAGTTTATTAAATAAACTGTCGAACCAGTAAAGTAAAAAAATGGTTTACATATGAATAAGAAGCGGCATTTTGGTCCAAGCTTTTCCGAATTGGCCTGATCGGAAAATCCCGAAGGGTGATTTTCCTAGCAAAGATCTCATTTCATTAATTTGCTTTAAGAATCCGAAGTCTGTAATATTTGGTTAGCTTTGATAAATTAAAATGTTTTTTGAATGCTAAATTATTAAATATAATAATTATATATAGTAATTTAAGAAATATAAAACCTGGTAAAATATACATAATGCTATACTTATCAGATCTTTATGAATAAATATTATTATCATATAAAAATAAAAGCCTAAGTGCTTTTTCTTTAGCAATGCAAGTTCGATTTACTGCAATATTATTATGCAGTTAATACAAAAAATAAAATAAAAAAAGTTTTTAAGCTAGTAAAGATACTTGCCAATTAAACCATATTGAACAAATATTTTTGCCTTTAACTCACTGTAAAAAGATTCTAGAGAATTAGTAGAAGTAATTTGAAGGAGAAGTAGTGAATATTGCCAAGCCCAAAGAGATTATTGTCTCAAATTTTTTATATAATTTCTGGTAATATATTTTGTGATAGCTTGAACTAGACAAGTATTAATAGCAGCATGGACAACTGCTTTATATATATATATATTTTTTTATAAATTTGGCAGTCATACCAAAACTTTATTAGATATAACACACTCGACTATACTATCTCGTGCGACTGTTTAAAACCAAAACACTAGCTCTGAACATCTAAATTACAAGTTTTGACTGGCCCAGTTACTTAAAAAGCACTTATTCCCGACCTGCTATAGTAGTTTTCACCTCCTTACATATCCTTTCTGCACTTGAAAATATATATATATTAACAGTAAGCACTACGGCTCGTCATGACTGCTAATTTCCTTACGACCCTCCTCTTCTTAATATCCAAACAAAAGGATTCCGCAATTCTTGCCTCAAGAACAACAAGTATGCTAAAAAAACTAAACTAAAAAAAAGATAAACCAAAAAGGGGAAAATACTACAAAATCTAAACGAAAACCAAAAAATAAAAGAAAGAAAAATAAAATAATAAAAAAAAGAGGAGAACAAAAGAAAAAAAGACAAAGACGAAACAGCACCAGATACACCAGTGCTAGAATAGTTTAAAAAATTATTTAATACTCCGTAAAACAATCTCTACTTTCGCTTTACTTCGGTATTAAAATATATTTTATATGTGGAGAATACAAAATTTTTTTTGTTTACCTTAGTGATCCGAAACCAACAGGTTGCTATCGTTTATGTGTCCGTCTACAGTCTTCAGGGGTATAGTATGTGATTTCCTCATGACTTGCCATCCTGATTTGGCAATGTAAACAATATTGATCTTTCATAGAGAGTACGCTGAAATTTCCACTTTTTGGAAAAAATTTCGAAAGAAACCCAGCAGGAATATGGAAGGTGGTTTGTAAAGGCAGGTACTTTCAAAATTTTCAAAGGAGTGTATTGAAGTCCACAAATATTTGTTGTTTTTCCTATGTTTTTGTTAACAGCCTATAAGCTTCGTTGACGAAGAGGACTTTGTCCTTCCACCAAGATTTTTTATACAAGGGCACCGCCTGCCAGTTATTTTGTATAATAACACTCCTGGTTTGCATTCCGAACATCTTTTAAAGGAGTCCTGTGAGTTCAGAAAACGTTGACCTCTAGACAAACCGCTACATAGGCCACGCCTCTCCAACAAAATTTGTGTTTTTCTTTAGTAAAAATTTTGGTATGAGTAATCGTCAGAGACAACTGCTTTATATCTAATTTGTATTTTTTTATGCATTGCGTGAATTATTTTGTTAAGTGTGGGACCATGGTAAATATTTTTTATCCATGTTTATACAACATGTACAGTACAAAAAAAAATATCACACTCTTGCTCTCCTATAAATTAAAGTAATTTGTATAAATTTTATTTACATTTTTAATAAAATTATATAAATCGTTAAAAAAAAAAATAGTAATAATAAAGTAAAATAAAATAAAAAAATAAAATAAAATTAAATTAAAATAAAATAAAAAAACATATTCTCTTTCTACTTACTGAAAGACCTGAAAAAGTTAATGCAATACTGTTTGATTCCACACTGCTTTGATTAAGAAGTATATATTTTGGATTTAATGTGAAGCAAAATTTCAAATAATTCTTAATGCTAATGCAACTGCTACACTAGTTTCTCTATTAACAAAAAAATAAGCACTGACATTCCAACAACTACAGCTATTGCAAACATATAGAGTAAATAAACGCCATCTATACTTATTAGTATTATACGTAGAATCAATTAGCATTAGCCAACTATAATGGGTTAAAGTTTTCAACTACCAAAAATCTGTAAAATATAGACCCCACAAGCACACAAGCGATTCTTGCTTTTGAAAAGACTCAATTTGATAATTATTTTTTAGCAAAAATTTAGTTAAACTAAAAATATTAGAACTTAAATTTGCATCTCCAATAAGATATAAGTTTATTGAACCAACAAGCTTCTGCTTGATATTTGCAATCTTCTTAGTTTTTAAATACTCTATGCCTGAGTCCTCATGTAATTTAGAAACTTCTTTCCTAATAACATTCATGATTATTGGTGGTTTGTAATCCTTGATCGCTTTATTAGCCACTATATTTTTAATAAATTTTGACTATTTACGCATATCATTTTTCTCTATTAAATAGCTATAATCAGGGGTACTACTCATCTATAATTTATTTTAATTATTAAAAAAAAAAACACTTCTTTAAAAAATATATATAAATTATACTTTTACTCTTTTAATTCTAACTATATTTATTGCTATTAACCATGTTATTTTAATTCTAGCTTCACAATCAATAGCAGGGTGTTTTGAGGTTATGCAAAGCTTTCAGAAGAAATGTTTTCTTTTCTTCTACTTGATTCCTTGGGCTTTGAAAGCCTACAAACAAAAGTTTTGTGTTCATTACTATTACCTAACTTGTATCTATTAAATCTTGTTTAAATATTATCAACAAGAGCCTATTGCTTATTAAAATTTTCAAGTGAAAGCTTAAATGTTTCATTTATATTAAAGAAGTGTTCTTGGATAGTTGATATAGCTGTAACAATATTTATAAAGTTTTTTTTTTTACTAGCTTTTCTGTTTACTGTTTGTTGCCAAAAACTATTCTTCTGCTACAAAATTTAGCCAAAACTTGTAAAGATTTATTATATACATATGTACAAGCTCTGTTTTCTTTTTTTTCTTTTTTTTTATTTTTTTTTTATATATATAACTATAGCTTGCCACATAGGTTTTCTTTTTATACTATAAGTAGTGTTCTCACTAGGGCTGTTAATCGGTCCATCCGGTCCATCCTGGTTAAAAGACTACCAGTCTTTTAAAGAATTGGACTGGACTGCAGTCTAGGACCGAATAGGACTGGATCGAATAGACTGATAATCAATATAATATTTTTTGCTATAATGATGAAAATAAGTTTATCTATATAAGAATTTCAACGCATTTATAATAAATAAGCTTTCAAATTCATAATATTGATATTTATATTTTTATAATTTACTTCATTAAATAAGAACATTATAGTAAAAATTGAGAAGATATTTTGTTACTTTTAACTGCTTAATATTGTTTTTAAATTTGATTTATATTTATTATCTTAATCGATAATTTGATTGTAATTAGAAATGTCAAATATTCAATCTTGTACATACTAATTCAAGACAAAACTATTTCAATATACAAAGATATTAAAGTAAATTAACAATACTATTTGTGTTCTTTATATAGTAAAAAATATTTATTGATGTAACATTGTTAGTCTTAATATTTCTCTCAAATATTTAAAAATTTATAGACCAAATATATTTAATAAAGAAAATAAAAAGTAAAAAATAAAGTATGCCACTAGTGTTTAGATATAAAGTTAAAAAAAATTTAGGTTATAAAAAGTTATAATATAAAATTTTATACGTATTTATAAGCATCATAAAATTAAATACGTAAATAAAAAAAAACCTGCTAACAGAAAAAAAAAAATTTATAATGCTAAAATTTAGAATAGTAAGTCTTCAGTAAACCAAGATTTTAAACACAAAATAGCTCGAACTGTTTCATTATCAAGAGAGTTTCGCGATTTAGTAACTGTTAATCTAGCTAAACTAAATAGTTGTTCACATGGAACACTAGTAGACATAATAGCTAGGTAGTCTTTTGCCATAGTAGCTAAATTCGGAAAAGCCCTTTGGTTAGATTTCTACCAATCACAAACAGAAGTTTTTTCAGGTGGAGCAATTATTTCCCAATATCGAGTAAGTTTATCTAAGTCAGAAGTTGTAGTTAACATAGATGTTCTATTATATTCTTGTAGAAATTGAATACGCTTTGAGATATGTGGAGGTTGAACTATAGATTTAGAGTTTACTGGTAGATTTGCATGGATTGAAGCCAAAATTTCATTTGCTGAATTTTCTGAATAAACAATTTGTTTAAAATATGGATCAAAAAAAGCAGCAATCTTACTCGCTTTTTGCATAATTGGCCAGTATTCATCTAATTTTTCTCTAATTTTAGATACTACTGCATTCATATCTTGATAGTCACTATTAAAGGCATTAAGATGATTGAATAAACCTGAAATAATAAGACGTAAATTGGCAATTGTTGGATAGTTAGACTTTGAAAGAATTTCTGTTGCAGTATTAAATGGTTTTAGACAATTACGAAGTTCCTAAAAAAATTATTATATATGTATTATATATTATTAATATTTATTATTCTAATTTATTAGATACTTTAATTTAGGCAAAAGTAGAATTTTTTTAAAATATTTTATAATACTTACTAAAAGAATATTCCATTCATTTTCAGAAGGTTGTAAATCACGCAATGTTGAATGTCGTATAACAAGAGAATCTAAATCCATACGCAAAACTATTGCACGGTCTATCATCAAAAAAGATGAGTTCCATTGGGTTGAGCAATCAATAATTGGTCTTAAAAAAGGATGATCAAAAGAAGCTGTTATACGTTTTAAATCTTCAATAAAAAGTGCAGATTTACGAATTTTTTTAATAAAATAACGAAGCTTAATTAAATATCTATTTGCTAACTTTAAGCCTTTTTTAACTGCAATATTTATAATATGTGTAGCATAGCGAATATGTTGAAATAAACTATTAGAAAAATTATTAGCAAGAGTATTTTTAATTATACTACTAGCTAAGACAATATTACTAGCATTATCCGAAGTTAATGCTAAAATTTTTTTTTCTAATTGAAACTCATTTAAAAGGGATAAAATAATATTTGCAATTATTTGGCCAGTATGAGGTGAAGGGATTTCAAAAACATCTAAAAGAAGATGACATAGATTCCAATTTTCATCTATAAAATGACAAGTTATTGCTATAAAACTTGTCATGGTACAAGAACTCCAAATATCAGTTGTCAAAGTAACTTTACAAGAAAGATTGGAAATAAAATTTTTAATTAAAGTTCTTTGTAATTCAAACTTAGAAATAATTAAATTTTGAAGTGCTTGCCGGCAAGGAAGCTGAAAACGTGGATCAAGATCAAAAATAAATTGTTTAAAATGTAAGTTTTCAACAACTCGAAATGCTTGTAAGTTAACAACAATTCACTTTAACAAAAGAGCTATTTTTTTTCTTGAATATTATATGGATATGGTTCAGGACGTCTATAATGATCTAAAGCTGTTTAACAAAAATTATTATATAGCTCTATATGTTGTGTTTGAATATGTCGATCAAGTGTGCTTATTGCTGTTTTATTACTAAAGATACGTTTACAATGATTGCATTTACGTTGTTTTGTAGCAAGTACTGTAAAAAATTTCCATACATGTGAGGATTGTTGCTTATTTGAACGAGTTATAGGAATATTTTCAGTAGAATTTTCATTATTATGCGATGTAGATGAATTATCATACATTTCAGTATCAAAACTTTCATCTTCTTGATTTCGTTCAAATTCTGTCAAATTATCTAGATTTTCAATATCTTGATCTTGTTCGAATTCAGTTAAATTATCTGGACTTTCAATATCTTGAGTAACTTGAAACTCATCGAAGTTATCAGGTTCTTGTTCATTACTGCTACTTGAACTATCAAGACTATCGGACGAAGATTCATCAATATTTGAATTTGCTTTTGAACGAGTTACAATAGGATCACGATTCATAGTTAAAGTACAATTTTAAAGGTATATAGATAATAAACAATAAATTTTTATTTTTAATATCTTATTTATATAGAAATTTACAAATTTTACTTTTGATAGTAACAAGTAATTTATTGATATCAAATTTACAATTTCGCCAAATTAATTAATAGCTAAATTGTATAAATCAATTAATAATTTATTATCGCTCTTTAAATTACTTAACAAAAAAAACTTTATATCACTTATTAAATATATATAGATTTCTTTATAATAACAGGTTCTTGGCTGAAAATGCATAAATATTAGCTTGCTCACGGCTTTGCTACAAGAACTACTTTATATGTAAGTAATATAGGACAAAACTTGTAAAAAATATTCGATAAATTTTTATTTAATATAATTTATTTCTAAATACTATTTGATTAAATCTATAAGACTAAAATAGTTAATTATACAAGGCTTTAAAGATTTCATTTGGCGTTAGCTATAATATCTAAATTTATCTTGTACTAAACTCTTTATAATATTATGTTATTATTTACAGCTATCAAAATTCCTGTTTGCGGCATTTATCTTATGCTGATAAAATTAAAAATTCCATTATTACTATGTTGAATAGCATAATTTGAATATTACTCGAACTGCTATCCAAATTGTCATTCAACACTATTATATGACTTGCAGATATGGATATTCATATTAGAATTATGCTATTCAGTGTGATAAAATTTTAAAATTTACTAGTACTACTATCTTTTATATGAGTGCCACCAAGGGAAAACCTGTAATCGGGCTTTCAATTATATTTTGTATCAGACAAAATCTATTTAATTTCTTAGAGAATATGTCCGGTACAAAATATAATTGAAAGCCCGATTACAGGTTTTCTTTTAGTGGCACTTATATGTCAAATTTATTTTATATAAAAATATAGTAGACAAATATAGTTTGGAAAATAAATAATTTAACATTACAATACAATAGTAATTTTTTTTATTAAGTTTCAACAATAATTAATTATCTATAATAAGCTTAATGTAAATATAAAAAGTGAACAAATTAGCGAAATGATTACATTAAACATATTAAGTAACAATTTTCATATAGATATATATCTGTGAGAATTTAGGAAGCCTGGTTGTTAAAGTTATTGGCCAGCAAGAATTTAAAGTTTAAAACAACATGAAATATGCAAATTTGATTTCAAAATAAATTAGCCAAATTTAGTATATGATATTTTGGCGTTGTAATCTTTGGATTATCGTCTAGCACTAGCGCTAGTGTATGATTTGTTTAAATCCAGATGATCCACATTATACATAAATCCTTATCAGTACGAATTTTGCATATCGATATTGAATAGTCTGATAATCTATAAATTTAACAATAATGATACAAAACTGTATGCGAATCGAGCAGATTACACTTAATATAGATTTTGAACAATATACTGTATTTGCATATAGGTGTGGAACACAAGTTTGAAGTAAACTAGTAGTTGATTTAGCAGAATGCAAATCATAATTCTTATCATTCGGCTAAATGAATTATTAGCTTGTTTCAAACTCATGCCGCAATTATAAATCAACTGATTACTCCATTGTTGTCATTAATAAATTTCTTTATTTATTAATATTAACAGCAGCCCGTTCTCATTATATATGTATTATAGTTTAATCTTGTTTAACAAACTATGGGGTTTGTAATTGACAATAACGAACTTTTTTTTTAGATTTAACTAAAAACAGCATTTTATAGTTGGTTTAAAATGCGTATTATCAAGATAATAAGTTTTATTTGATATTTACTATTAGGACCAATGATCCTTTCCGTCCATTCTAAAAGGGACCGGACTAGCCCAATCCCTGGATGGACCGAAGGATCGTTGGTCCGGACCGGATCGATTAACAGCCCTACTTGGTGGTTGCCGAGATATCTTTAAAAAATGTTTCTTTTACTATGTAAACTTCTTTGCAAACAATAGTATTGTTTACATAGTAAAAGAAACGTTTTTTAAAGATATCTCGGCACTCACCAGGCCGATTTTGATGCTCTAACCACCATTAGATGCACTTTGATAAGCTTTATAAAAGTCTCTTAAGTTAGAAAAGTAATTAACTTAGTATAAAAAAAGTTTTAGATACACACACGCTACATTTAGAAACTCTCAATTTTTATAAGTAATTTGAGTCACATTTTACTATGATTATTCTCTGGTTGACTGGTGGATCACCAATTAATAAAGATAATGAAAACCTTGATCTTGAACTTTACCAAAATTGTAAGTCTAAAATAGCTGCATTGGAATATTTAGTAAATCATTTGAATGATGAACTATCAGCAAACAATTTAAAACATATAAAGAATATAGTTAACAATATGAAGTGTATATTTACTATCATTGAGAACATAGAAACATCACAATGAAAAAGACAGTGCAACAAAACTTGCAATAAACCAAAGCCGTGGATATTATTTTTACAGTAAATATTAATTTTTTAAAAATTAATATAGAATTTCTAGATAGTATTAAGTAAGCTGAAACAGAACCGTAGTAATACTAAGTATATTAAAATAAAATTTTAGCTATTCACTTTTTGAAGTAACTATGCTTTATTAAAGTTCTCTTGGCTTAATCGTTTAGATTATAATTAACATATAACTTAAGTTTTGAAAAAAACTATGTATTAAATTAATTCTAAATTACTGTCTTAAGTAATCTAACTATTTTTTAACAATTATTAATGAAGAACATGTGGCTAAAATTTTACAAATTAACAAGATAGCTAAAATATAAATTTAAATTATTTCTTCATAAAATTAAATATACTTTTTGCTATATACTTGGTTTAGAAAATATGAGATAAGCAAGTAAATGCTATTGTAATCACAAAGGTTAAAATGCTAATAAAATTCTTAATAATAGGTGGATCAAGTAACTGAAATTTTTCTTCTCTTAACTTAACTACTCTATAACTTATCGCTGCAGCTAAGCTATTCAAGTAAGCTCCTATATTAATTAATAATAGAATAACATAATAGCAACTTTATTTTTTATTAACAAATAATACTATTCCTTCTCCTATCTAAGCTATATAAAATATTTACAAAGTGCGATTATTTAAATTTAAATTATTATTCATACTTTAAACATATATGTTATACATACATGATGGCTAAAGCCTATAATCGATAATTATTAGTAATTATAGAATATTTTAAACGAAGTCTTTTTAAAACTTCTAGCGAATGCTTCTCAACCCGTTGATCAAACTCAGCAAAAATTACTTTTTTACTTTATTCTGCACTTTTGTAGAATTAAAGTAAAAAAAATTTATTAAATTCTGTTTAGTGGTCATTGAGGAATTTCAGGTAAAAGGTTAAAAAAAAATTTGAAAATCAGGTGAATATTTTTTTTTTTAAAATTTAGGCAAATATTTCTTGACACCCAACTATTAAAACTTAAAGAAGTTTCTTTTTTTTTAATAATGTAAGTTTATATAATTAAAGTAAAAAAAAATTATCAAATCAGATAGTTGGTTGTCAAAAAATATTTATTAGTAGTTTAAAAAGAAATTTGGCCACAGCTTTTTATTTTATAATGCTTAAACTTTAAACAATAGTTACTCAACACTTACCTAACTAAATTCAATTAAAATTTTTTTATTTTAATTCTAAAAATTTAAAGAATTAAAATGAAAAAATTTTGATCATATTTAGTTAGATAAGTGTTGAGTAACTATCGTTCAAAGTTTAAGTATTATAAAATAAAGAGCTGTGGCCAAACTTCTTTTTAAACTTCTAATGAATATTTCTCGACAGCCAACTATTCAAATTCAATAAATTTTTTTTTACTATAATTCTGTGAACTCATATAATTAAAATAAAAAAAAATTAATTAAATTTTGTTAGTTGGATATTAAAAAATATACATTTAAAATTTAAAAAGAAAAACTTTATCTGATTTTAGCTTGATATTCAAAACTATTTTTAAACTTTTACTCAAAATTCCTCAATGACCACTTAACAGAATTTGAAATTTTTTTTTATTTTAATTCTACAAAAGTACAGAATTAAAATAAAAAAAATTGCCAAATTTAATCAAATAAATATTGAAAAACATTTGCTAGAAGTTTTAAAAAACACTTCAATTAGTATGTCTGGTAGTTACACCAAATGATAATCATTACACGTAATTTGTGGAAATTTTGGACTGCATTCTGCTGTTGTAATTTTGAAAGGTTCAACACTAATACTCTATATTCCATGTTTTCAGTATATTGCATATTTTAAAGTCACGTGTAATGTAATCTCAATAGCAACTATCTCAGTATTGTGTAAAATCTATAGACAGTTTTTAGGGACAGTGTAAAGTCAGATGATTGTTTGTTAAAACAGTCAGGCAAAAGTTAATTTTTCAAAATTTGAGCAAAAATATCTCGATGACCACCAAACCAAATTTAATAAAAAATTTTATTTTGATTCTATAGGTTTGTAGAATCAATATAAAAAAATAATAATCAAATTTAGTTAGATAGTTGTCAAGATATTATCACTCAAAGTTTATAAAATTTTATCACTGCCGCTATTTTGATAGATGTTTTAAATGTTTTTGTGAAGATATCTCGGCAACTAACTAACCAAACTCAGAAAATTTTTTAATTTTGATTCTACAGATCTATAGAATCAAAATTTATTGAATTTAATTTGGTAGTTGTCAAGATATCTTCACTTAAAATTTAATAAAAATTTTATTGCAGGTGTTCAAATATTTCAAACCTTTAAGCAAAGATATCTCAGCAACTAAACAACTAAATTCAATAATTTGTTTTTATTTTTATTCTACAGATTTGAATGATCAAAATAAAAAAAATTTATTAAATTTAGTTGGATGATTGCCATGATATTCTCACTTAAATTTTTACAAAACTTCGCTGTGGTCGTTATTTGATAAAGTTTCAAGATATCTTAATAACTACTCAACTAAATTTGATAATTTTTTTTATTTTGATCCTACA